AAAGGGGAGGAGGCATACACACAACCTCTCTCTACCAGTCCCCACTGAGATAAAGACTCTAAATGGTACTTCGCTCGGTTGGAAGAAATGTCCTAGGTCCCGTCGAACGAGAGATACCTGACACTGGTCCCCGAGAACCTACCGTAGCAGAGGTTCGAGACTGTCCAGACGGTCACGAAGAGGTGTCAAACCAATTCAGTACTGAGAGACCCACTAGAACCCGAGAATTTTTTTGTCCTTAAAGAGTTCTAGAAGTTAATAAGATAATAGGTTAAACATCTGGTAAAGGGTATTAGATAAAGTTCGTGAGATTTCTACAAAAGACCGACACACATACAACTTTTAGAACTCCAAAGAACCTAAAAGAGTAAAAGGTCGTCAGGTTTCGCTTGAAAGCTGAAGTGAGGTCGGACACCAAGAGGGCAAGAAAACCAACCGTCCGAGAAGGGTCAGAGAGAAGGTAGACCCTTTAGAGAAAATACGGTACCTGTAACCCGTCTGTTTAACGAAATTAAGAGGGTTCCCGAACCACCAAGCGACGTACACCCCCAACCCTAACTTGTCGGGCGATTTCAGTCGTCCTATACGTGAGAAAGTGAGGGAGGACTTTAAGGACTGTTTCTGTTTGAACGGAGGAAGAAGTTCCAAACATAAGTAGCGCATTCAAGAACTGAGACGGAAACCTGAATCGAAAAGTCGAGCATTAAGTGTCAGGGGTCTACGAACCCGAAATGATCGAAGGACTGGTCGAAGAGGTACTTTTGGTTGACGTAGAAGTCTTGGTAGGGCTACCTCCGTCTATGTCCCTACAAAGTCGTCGATAGTGTTGCAAAGACGAATGACACTCCAAGGTCGAAGGAAAACGGGATTGGCTCTGGTGTCCAAACAATATTTTAATAAAATAGTAAGTAAAGCCTAAAGTGAAAGTAGCTGAAAAAAAGGTAACCAAGTCTAGCGCGAGCGGTTCGGAGAGGGTGGAGAAGTCGTCAACCGAAGAACAGACGCCTAAGAAGAGAAAAAGGAGAGGGAGGCTAACCACAACTGGTTCTCAGGGGTGACTCTATTTCTGGGATTTACCATGAAGACGAGCCAATCCTTCTTTACAGGATCCGGCAGCTTGCTCTCTATGGACCTAGTGACCAGTGGGTTCTTGATGGCATCTGTCGTTCCAAGCTCTGACAGGTCTGCCAGTGCTTTCTCCACAGTTTGGATTAAGTCGATGACTCTTCTTGGTTGATCTGCTCTAAAAAACAGGAATTTTCTCAAGATCTTCAATTATTTCTATTGCAATTGTAGACTCATTCCCATATCTATTTTCAAGCACTCTAAAGATGTTTTCTGCTGTGTTGTATGTTGAAAGTCTCAGGTTTCTTGAGATTTTCTCATCCATGCTGTCCAAAAGCTGAATCTTTTCGACTTCACTCGAGCCTGTTGGTTCTCCCTGTCTTTGCAGGCTCTCCCAGTCTCTCTTCCATCTGTGGAAATCTCTTTTATAGCCATGACATTTGGGCAGACAAATTGCTTTAATTCTCACCAAGGGCGTGGTGTTTGCTGCATGTGGGGTTGATGAAGCAGCCGCTAAAGTCAGCAGATATGCACTCTTTTCTTCCTCTGAATTCCTTTGTACAAAGACAAACTTTGCTCTCCTTGCTTCAAGGTTGTTATTCATTGTCTGTAAGTCTTTGACTCTGCCTTTTGGATTAGCTTTTTCAGTCTCTGTAATTCACAGTTCCCAAGATGCTTGGCTTTTACTAGCTTCCTTGACCAGCTTCTCCATGAAAACCAACTGCATCTCATAACCATCCCGATTGAGTGCAGATACAGATGTTTCAGCAGCATTATCACAAGCCGTTTCTGCTTCCTGGATTGAGGTTTCCAGCTCCTTTTGCCCATAACGAGACCACAGGTTTGTTTAAACAATTATTTTTACTTCATTCATTCTGATTTCACTTTCATCGATATTTTTTTTCCATGTCAGAGTCTTGCTGCTCGCCAAGCGCTTCTTCCACCTCTTCAGCAGTGTTGGCTTCTATGTCTGCGAGTAGGCCACTCAGAAAGTCATCATTTGCTTCACTGATATTTCTTCCCATCAAAGTGAGCTTTTTGAATTCCTCTCGAAGCTCAGTTTCAGTCATGCTTCGTGCTCCTCTGCCAAGAAAGTTAGCTACTTTTGTGAATGCACCTTTAGCCATTGTCCTCTCCTGCTTGACACTTTTCCCATAGGTGTGTGGTTACTGCAGACAGTTTGGTTTATTCTGACTTTTACAGGCTCTTGATCCTTTAGTCCTTATTGCTTGGCAATGGTTTTCAATTGTCAAGTTATGATTTGGTTTGCTAGATTGACTCCTGCCTAAACTTGAAAATGGCTTGATTCACTCCAAAAGGACACACGGGACAACTCAAATTTGAATCCTTCCTCTTTATTTTAGTTATTATAGATTTATTTTTGCTTCATTCAGCCTCCATTCAGCTTTCTGTTGCATCATTTAGGTTGAAAACCTTTAACACAAAACATACTTTCATTCACTTTAGGCAAATAAACATTTCAATGAAAAACATGCCATACTTAAACAAGCACTTTCATTTCTGCTCTATGGTTTTAAATGTAATCAAGTTACAATTAGACTTAACATTTAATCAAAAGTAAATGCATCTCAACAAAGTCAATTATATTCCAGCATCTTATATTTTTAGCTTAATAGCTCATAAGACTAGAAATAATCATTCATTTANATGGCTTGATTCACTCCAAAAGGAAACACGGGACAACTCAAATTTGAATCCTTCCTCTTTATTTGAGTTATTGTAGATTTCATTTTGCTTCCTGTCGCATCATTTAGTTTGAAAATCTTTAACACAAAGCATACTTTCATTCACTTTAGGCAAATAAACATTTCAATGAAAAACATGCCATACTTAAACAAGCACTTTCATTTCTGCTCTATGGTTTTAAATGTAATCAAGTTACAATTAGACTTAACATTTAATCAAAAGTAAATGCATCTCAACAAAGTCAATTATATTCCAGCATCTTATATTTTTAGCTTAATAGCTCATAAGACTAGNGGAAGATACAACCTTTAAGAAAACAGAATCATATAAGTACATCAGGTTTCATAGAGCTAAAACATTTCAAGTGCTACTTAACTGGCCCAGTCCTTTATTAGTATATAAGTGTTTTGTTAGTAATTCTATCGCTCGAAGTGGAGTCTAAAGAGATGAGTTTTCAGTTGCGCCGGAAGATGTGTAAGCTTTCTGCTGTCCTGATTTCAATGGGGAGCTCATTCCACCATTTTGGAGCCAGGATAGCAAACCCACGTATTTTTGCTGATGGGAACTTGGGTCCCCCTCGCAGTGCGGGTGCAGCGAGCTGTTTGGCTGATGCAGAGCGGAGTGCACGTGCTGGGGTGTACAGTTTAACCATGTCCTGGATGTAGGAAGGGCCAGATCCATTCGCAGCATGGTACGTAAGTACCAGTGTCTTGAAGTGGATTCTAGCAGTTACTGGAAGCCAGTGAAGGGAGCGGAGGAGCGGCGTAGTTTGGGAGAATTTAGGAAGGTTGAAGACCAGACGAGCCGCTGCATTCTGGATGAGCTGCAGAGGTCGGATGGCACATGCAGGTAGACCAGCCAGGAGGGAGTTGCAGTAGTCTAGGCGTGAGATTACGAGAGCCTGGACCAGAACCTGCGCTGTTTTCTGGGTCAGCTGGGGACGTATCCCACCTGATGTTGTAAAGGGTGTATCTGCAGCAGCGGGTTGTAGCAGCAATGTTTGCAGTGAAGGACAGTTTGTTATCTAGGGTCACACCTAGATTCCTTGCAGTCTGAGTTGGGGAAACAACAGAGGTGCCGATGTTGATTGTTAGGTCAAGAGTGGGACAATCTTTTCCCGGAAGGAAAATCAGTTCAGTCTTGTCAAGGTTTTACACGGTGGACCTTTTCAAGTATTCACTCTTACAGATGGTGCTTCAATTATTGTAGAAATGTGAAGCCACACACTCTTTAAAAGCCATCTCTCAATACAAATATCAGTAAATAAGGTTTGTATTGCTCCACTGTGTTAACATTAAATGCATGTTGTGCTTTCCTAACTCTACCATTTTATGGCTTCTGTTACAGGTCACTGAGGAGAAATGAGATTCGAGTGTTGTCTGATTTAGTTTTCTCAGAATACTCTTACCTAGAGAGACTGTAAGTATTTTTATGTTACTTTTCACATTTTTGCAAATACAGTTTAGGTCGGTAAACTCTGTTATTTATGTGTTTTCTACACTTAGTGAGTTACTCAGAATCTCATAGATGAGATTTTATGGTAGGGGTGAAGAAAGCAATAGTCCCACTACAGTAAACAAAACAAAAAAAGGAATTAATGACTGAGCAAAACTAGCACTGATGAACTCGAAAGGCACACTCAATGTTTTTTACTTAATAACATGCACATTGATATACAGGAAGAAAGGGAAAAAAGGTATTTTAAAATAAAATCTATCAAAAGACTAGAAATAAAACAAAAAAGGTACATATGGCCACATGGGCCAATAATCATCATACTGTGCATTTATACAAGCAAATACAAACATGTGTTTGGTTCGGAAGATAAGAGCCCATCCTAATACTTGCCTTTTGAGTTGAATACATTTCGTTTTTTTTGTTTTTTTCACCTTTCCTACCCCGAAAGACAGAAAGAGAATGTCCATTGAAATGTTACTACTGTTTGTATTTCCAGATAGAAATGTGGATCTCTGAAATCATAGACGAAACGAGCTCAAAACACATTAAAATGTTTTATGTGCAGCCACTTAGCGTGGTTGTGTTTTTTTTAAAATATGATATTTCTCATGTATTTATTTCATCCGTCCCCTTTCATTTCATTATTTTCTTTGCTGTAGATTGTCCACTATCATTGTGAAGCAGTTCATCTCTTTTATTGTCAGACGTTACAAATAGATGTGTTATTATTGCGTAAATTACTGCATATTGCTGCAGATTGAACCAGACAAGCTTGAGATTTTGTTTCATTTATCGTAGATACAATTATTTTATTATATGAGACAGACTGCAGTCAAATGTCATGTTGTTCACCGTTAGGAGGCAACTAGAGCAGGGGCGGACTGGCCATTGGGAATACCGGGAGTTTTCCCGGTGGGCCGGAGCTGTGCGTGGGCCGGAGGGCCAAAAAAACAAACAAAAAAAAGTATTATTTTTTTTTTTTTTTTACCTAAATCCTACCGGCCCACATTTGTAAGTGTTCCGGCCACTCCCTGGAGGGGACTCAGTGGATTAATGAGTAGAATATAACTCTAGTCCAGCATCTCTATTTTGCGAGGATTTACTTTCATGCTATGGGGAATGTTAAATAGTACCAAAAATAATCAATAATGTCCACACTTTGAGTAGTTTTTATAAAGCAGCTGTCTGCAGTATCTAGTTAGTAGGGAACACACACATTCACAAACATATTCACTGTCTTAAAGGTTCATGGCAATTTACATATTTTGAACATGGTCATATTTTACATCTCAGCAACTGAATGTTCTGTCCTCTGTTGATGTGGATGACCTTATGAGTGTATCATCCTGTCTGTATTCTCACTGAAGTGTAAAAAGGGAAATAATCATTCTGCAGTGGTTGATAATGATGATTCTGCTCTAAAAAGCTGGTATTTATCATTTTTACAATCATTTCAGGCGTACTCTTTGTGTAAGTGTGCGTTGAGGGAAAATGGATGATTATTTGACTCTGTTCCCAGGTATCTGCAAAACAACAGCCTCCAGTTCATATCCAAACACGCCTTCAGTGGCTTGTACAGTTTGAAGAGGTTGTAAGTAGCCTGCCCACTTCAAAATGTTAATCCATTTCTGAAACAATAATGCAGATTTTGCTTTCTGTTTACTTTTCCCTTACCTCTTCTATTATCTCCTAAGAGCTTGTCTTGTATATTGGATTCTGTGTAGAAGGGCATGAAAAAATCAATTGATTTATTTGTTTGTTGTAATTGTTACCTTCATTAGAATTGTTCATATAATGTAATCAATGATCTGAATAGTTATTAATTGTGTTTGTATTCATAGAGTGACTGTGACTGACTTCTTGTTTTTTTGCATTAGAGAAAAGGTTATTTTTGCAACACATTTGTACACACAAACACAGTATTGCACAAGGTAAAATGTTCTGACTCCAAACTGGCTCTGGGGACACTGAATAGTTGAGGAAACACACATGCATAAACTCAAATGTTAATTACGTTGTCTACAACAGCCAATCAAAAAATATAACATTTAGGTCAGAAAACCAAGCTGTCATGAAAGTGTTTCAAGTTTAAGCCACAATACTAGGGTTTCCATTACGTTTCATGATGGTGATTTCCGCGTTATGTGATTCAATTAAAAGATAAATTATTTATGAAATGGAAAAAATTGTTACGGGTGAGCGAAGCAAGCAGGACCCAAATGCAGATAACACTGAAAATACCTTTATTTCAAGGATACACGGACAAACAGAACACTCCCCGGTGAACACAGACAAACGACGAACCAACAATGACAGACAGAAAAAACAGAACTTAAATACACACAGGACTAATCAAGGAAACAAGAGACAGGTGAGGAGGGAGGAGAAAACACAGGGGCACCAGGTGAACACAATCAAGAAAACAGGTAGGAGGGAACAGGTAGGAGGGAACACACAGGAAGGAAACCAAAGACAGATCTAAACAAGACAAAACACAACACAGACAGATCGTGACAAAAATAATGGGAAAAATGGCAATTGCAGCAAGTCTAACACCCAGATATTCAGTTTGCTACGATATATGACAAAGAAAATCAGCAAATCATTGTAGAGCTGAAACTAGAGATTGTCTATAGACTTTTATATTATGTAATTAATTTAGCTTGAAAGGTTATATCCCTGAGAATAAGATAAACAAAAATAGAACATCATCCCTTCTGTCTCTGTTTTTTTACCCAAGGTTTCTCAGTGAAAACTTGATATCCTCCCTGAGTCCCGGTGTGTTCAGTGATCTCCATCAATTACAGTGGCTGTGAGTGACACACACACACACACACACACACACACACACACACACACACACACACACACACACACACACACACACACACAGACATCAAGAGAAGGTCATTGTGTGGTGTACTCTGCTGAGGTTTCATATTAATGCAGATGGCAGGACACTGTGTGACTTTTGGAAAATACAAGAGCACTTCCCTATAAGGAGTCATAAAAGTTGTGCAGCTGTGGAGATTATGCCTTGAAATGAAAATCCAATTTGAGTACCACTACACAGAAATGAATGTCTGTAAAGCTAATGAGGCAAAGAGCTTTATGGGTGCGTTATATTGTTTTTGCTCCAGAGCTCTTTAAACGGTGCACTTTGGTTTTGGCCTGTTGGGTTATAGGTCTACTAAACCAGGTTTCAATGTTAAGGACCCAACTCTCAGAGTTTATTATTTGTTTTTAATGTTATTTCATGTTTTCTCGATGGCATCCAACCCAACTGAATAAGATTTTGTTTAGATATGTGTAGTTTGTTTGCAAGGTGCTGGGGTTAGATAAGGCTCTAACACATCATGTTTATTTCAGTACAGACAACTTAAAAACTAAAAGGCATTTGTTATTATTGAATTGTGGTGTTTCTGTTTTGCTGTTGTGTTTTTGTGACCGTTTCTTGTTCTAGGGTCTCTTTAATAATCTTCTTATGATTGTTTTATTAAAACCACTCTCATCATGTCTATATGCTAGAATATTAAGCTACAGCCAATATTCAACCTACAAGGTACAACACGTTTATAAATCACATCTTTATTTGTTAGTTCTTTTTACCAATAAACAGAACCAGGCTTGCTCTTTACCCCTCCTCTATTTATGCTAAGCTAGGCTAGATAAGATTTGCTTTATTCAACCAGAAGATCAACACCACTTCTCGTCAGTACGCAAAAGTTATTTACTGGCTGTAGGCTACAGTAGTTTTCAAGTATTGACGGGAAAGTGGTGTTGATTGTCCGGGTGAGAAAGCAAATCTTATCCAAAATGTTTAACTGTCTTTAAAATTCTCTGTGTCAGGATTTTGGATCATAACCCACTGAGCATCCTGTCCCAGGACACTTTCACCGGGCTCCAGTCCCTCACGTACCTGTGAGTTGCAATGTTTTTACTTGAATATCTGTTGTATTGTTGGCTGATTTCAATTCTCAAAATAACTCCGGCAGTTGTCTTGCATATGTACTATAATATGGATATAGTTTGAAGGAAAGCATCATACCCTTTAACAATAATTGCTAACCTGAAGAAACTCCACATGGGAAAATAAACATTCTAATGGTTATAATAACATACTGTATCTCAACTTACCAAATTGAATATTAATATCATGGGCATCTTTAAATGTAAACCGCCTTCATTTGACAAACTCTTTGTGTTTATCTTATTTAAACATGTGAGTATGCAAAACAAGAGCTTTACGCATGTTAAATGTCTGTTTAGTTGTACTCTGTGATTACATTTCACACTTCATTTCCTAATCAGTCATGTCTTTGTGTTATAACAGCAGTCAAGTAATGAGGGTCAGTGAGGTCTTACGATTGTTTGCCATTTCATGGGCCATATGCTTTTTCTCAAAAAACACACCTTGTCTTTTTTAATAAAAGGGCTTGTTTCCATCCTGACATGTCACCTCACTCTTTTGTCTCGGACTTCACTTGTTATTCTTCCCTCCTCTCCATTTCAGTAACTGCTTCACTGACCTTAAATCCGCCCTTGCACTTTGTCTTTATAGAATGGCAAGATTGCAGTAGTGTTCTCCTGGTTTTTGTTCCCGGTGAGAAAGCCTTAAAGCTGTCCTCTGCGTCTCTGCTTCATGCCTCCACTTAAAGGGGACATATCATGCTATATTTGAACAATATATTGTAGGGCCATACCTATATAAAGTATATAAATATATATATTTTTCAAAATACCAAACAGATCCTGCATTTTAGCCATGCCTCATTTCGCTCTATTTGCTCTTTCCAGAGCTGTTTTTGCAGGGGGCTGATTCTGTGAGCTGCAGCTGACCACGCCCCCCTTGCAGGAGAGGGGAGTGTGCTTTGAGATCAGCTGCTGGGCTCTCAGAAGAGGGGGAGAAAAAGAGATCTCCGTCCTCCATGTTTTATTCTTATAGAAGTAAGAAGAGAAGTAACGGGGCAGAAACCCTCCTTTTTACGCAGCGGTCCAGACATAGACATCAAACAGCGACACATATTCAGTTGCCAGTTACTTTGGCATTAGGGCAGGGATATCTAGATACTTTCCAAGGTTTGACATAATGAATTGTGCTTCTTTTAAAGCAAGCAACGATGTTTTAAAATCTGTAATCAAAAAGTCCCTCAAAAACGCTATTGAAGTAGTTCCTGCCGTTGTAGTTCAAACAGTAACAACGGACTATTTTTCTTAGCGGATGCATGTCAATTTAAATCAATAAAATAATTTTCTAAATCCGTAAAAGCATTTCAATTAATATTGGGAGTCATATCGTTACTCTGTTGAGAATGTGGCCATGTAATAAGCGGGATAATGTGCAGCGACGCGGTCATTATGGGGAAAAGAACACCGACAGGCTGATCAGGAGCCCGACGCGAAGCGGATCTAGATATATGATTATATAGAGTCATTATTCATTTGTTTTAAGGCAGGAGGCGCAAACGCTTGCCTCGAGGAGGGAGAAAAAGAGCCACAGCGGAGAATAAACAGAAGGGCAACCATGGCAACCAAGCAAGGGAAGTCTTCTTCCCTGCTTTGGTGGCAGACTACATCGCCACTTACAGGCCTGGCATATGTACTACAGCGTCTCCAGCACTTTAGAGCGGCAATGGCCTGCCGTGGCCCAACCTCTCATTCCCCTGATAGGTGGAGAATTGACCACTAAGCGGAGCACCCCTTTTGTGACGTAGAAAATAATTCAAATCTGGATCAGTCTGTATCAGATCCGTTACAGCCCCTTTTTTTTTTAGATTTGGGTATAGAGGAAAAGAGAGGGTTGTATTTTCCGGCACTTGGTGAATTCCGTGGCACACCGGGAACACATAGTCATGTATAAAAGACGTACAAGAGTGCATTTTGCATGATAGGTCCCCTTTAACTTAATCTCTCTACATTTTTGTTGTCTTCCCTTAACAGGTATCCATTTCAATAAATGCCTCCTTTAAAGGTGGGGTATGTCATTTTGGAGAAACCGGCTCGAGTGCGCTAGAATTTGAAAATACACAACCGGAAAAAATCTGCCACTTCCTTACAGAGCCCCTCCTCCAACACACACGAACGCGCACATGACCAATGAGGGCACGAGATAAGTTTGTGCACAGATGGAAGGCTGACAGGCAGGTAGGCCATCCAGTTACTTTAGCCGGGCCGGCTAAAATGATTGGTCGTGCTTTTTACAGTACTACGGCTTCCACAGATGAAATTTTTTTTAATGGATTTTTTGTCAAAGCACTTAAGATATTCATTGCTATCGGGATGTTAAGAGCATTCCATGGAATATAACAAAAAGTGTATCTCGAGCCGGTTTCTCAAACTTACCGACCCCACCTTTAAGGATGATGCTTGACAGATCGTTTTTCCCGGGAGTAACTCTCAGAGAAATGACCATATGTCTGTATTTTTGTTTCTTCATCCATCTGTGGGATGAACTGCAGTCGCGGGTCTCTGCTCAGTCTCTCATCTGTCTGAAGTTTTACCCCACGAAATATCAAAGTTTCTTCTTTGAAAAATGACTTTACTTTAACCTTCACAGTGCTGGGAGATTTAACTCCATTTGATCAAAGGATCCTGAGAAGGGTTTGAATTCACCTTTAAACTACTAATCGTGTTCTTGCATTAAGAACAACCTTAACCTTACCATTTTTTAAATCCAAGGCTTTTGTTCTGATTTATTACCTTCCAATGATTAGACATTTATATTCATTTCAGTATACTTGCAGTAATGTAAAAAATGACTTCAAACATTCCCAGGAAGAGGGTTATCAATTACAGTGAACCATTTATTATTGATTTAATCCACTGTTGTTTGATACATTATTTGTGAGCATAAATCATTTTATCGTGAGAACACTGAGACCTGAAACCAACCAACAAATCATAAACATAATGTCCTTGACAAAGTTAAATATGGACTCATGATGCACGTTTGTCAGTTTTTACTTTTTGTATTAAAAGGTTTTCTAAGTGGCTGCCAACTCTGAAGTCAGCAGGAACACATGGTGACTTTGCCATGAAATGTAATGTTATTAAAAATTAGAACAAAAGACGTAACACATGTTTTGTTTCCAGTTATAGAGAGCAACAGTGGATCACCTCCGCTCCGTAACGATGGGAACCCCCCGCTGAGGGTGTCCAATTATCTGTTTTGAGAAAATAAATATGTTTTCCTTCTTTTGTCAGATCCATGGTGGGCACCGCGCTGCAGCAGCTCCCACACCCCAGCTTCTGCCAACACATGCCTGCCTTGGACTGGCTGTGAGTCTGCTCTGACAGTGTGCTTGTGTGTGAGCAGGTGTGTAGTGCATGTGTGTGACTCAGTACACATCTGCTCTTTAAATACTTTATCAGTTTGTGTGTGTGCTTGTGCTTTTGTGATTACGTAAAAAAGTGAATGGTAGACAGAGTTGACAGGGGGCTGACGAATTGCTGACAATAAGTGGATGAGATGAGATTGAACAATGTTTGTCAGCAAGTGAGATGAAGGATCAGTCTGACATTTAAGAATGACCTCGTCCACATCTGTAAATGTTGTAAGTCAATCAACATTTATACCAATTCCCCTCTTTAAATACCAACCTGTCTCCTTATTGTTTTCCCTTTTCAATTCAACAAAGCTTTATTGTCACCAGAGGGCAATTCTGGTGCACAGTACAACAACAAATACACTATAAACAACAAAGTGCAAGTAGTAAAAAATATCTAATATGTGCAACAATACAAAGTTATGTTATATTTTTCTAACCCCAAAACACCAGACAAATGTTATATTTTATTACTATTCTTAGACATGTTTTCACATGTGAATACGATATGTGTTTTGTAAAGTTTAAACAACATGTCCCCCCCTCCCTTTTTGTTCTGCTCACAGGGATCTTGAAGGAAACCAGATTCAAACTCTCAATCACTCAATCTTGAAGTCCTGCAGCAAGCTTGAAGTTCTGTGAGTATATCCTAGTTTATAACGGCTTGAAACAATCCCTTCTTGGAGTCATTATTGTAGCCACATTACATAACATAACATAACAGACATTACAGCAATGATGTCATATTGTCTATATAAAACAAATCCTTCAGAAGTAAACATTATTGTGTTTTTTAAATTAATTTATTTCCCCTTTAGCTATATTCAATACAACACGTTTTTTTCTTCTCTGTTTTCTGTCATTTTAGTTAATTTATCCCCCAAAAGACACATTTGGAAGCAACTCTTTTTTTAATCGCATTCAGGTTATTTGTTCAAAAGTTTGATATGGCAGACCCCTGCCTCAATATTAAAAACCATTGCATCTTTAGGAGTATCATCAGTCTTGGTAAAGGACCTGTTAGGTGTTTTACTAACCCTTAGAAGCTCAGCATAGTCCTAAAGACTGAGGAGTGCATAAACACCATCTGGTTTTAATGTTCCTGATTTGTTTTATATTTTATATATCTTCTAATTCAACGGTACTGCATCATATGTAGCTCAGTCAGCTTTCATTTCTATCAATTAAAGTTACAATTACCAAGACACACCGATGGCATTTGAACAGTGAGTTCTGATTCCCATTTTAGTTTCACACGCACGCACACACCCTCACCCTCACTCTTACAATTATGTCGACATCGAATTACTGCAGACTCAAAGGAGAACAGCACACCTTTTGTGAGTTAAGGAATGGAACAGGCTCTCTCAAAGTTAGGAAGCATTTAAAGACTTTCTAGGATGTCAACAAACTGACTGTGAGAAACAAGCCTTGTCTACATCAATGTAGCTCAGAAACAATAAGCACAATGCACGCATGTGTGTGTATTTTAAAAGACACACTGATTTTCTGCATCTTGGAGAGGTGGGGAGGGCGGGCAGCTAAACGGGTAGGGATTATTACAAAATATTTTATAGTTTAGGGTGTGTGTTTTGGTATTTATGTGTGCTTTTAGTCATTCTTAAATTCAGTTGTCAAGAGTTATTGAATTAGTTGCATTAATGTTTGCTTAGATCATGGAAATTACAGCAGCCAAATCTGGTATAATTATCTCTTATGTTAGATGCATTTAGTTTTATACAGAATGGTCCCTGGCAAATAAATGGAATGCACGTAACTAAATTAAACCTATCAATAATTCATGTAAAAACTATTCATTAATATATTAGTAGAAGAGTAGAAACTTTGAGTTATGAAAACTATTTCAACAAGTACAATTTATATTTTGGTCTTCAAACTGAAAAATTGAATTGCCTTTGGGATTGAAGAGAAGGCAATTTTCTAACGTAACAGAGTTTGATTGTTTGGTGGACTGGCTGCACACTGAGGACATTTTCTCAGAAAGATGGGAATTACAGCAATCAAAGTTTGTTTTTCATATAAATGCATGGGATGTCTTTCCATTATTTTCATAACAAATGAACCTGATTTTAGCGCTATGCCTCAACGATGCTTTGGATAACGGCATGAAGACTAGACCTGAGGCAAGGAACAAAATGAAGAATTCTCCATCATTCAACTGACAACATACAAAGAAATCCACTTTAATTTTTCTTCATGTTTTGTTTTTTTTCCCTCTTGCTTGCACCGGACTGAAACTGTCTTTTCACCGCCATCTCTTCACCTGCACTAGTGGCCGTATCAAAGACGTGATTGGTCAGATGTCGATTCATTGCAACGGTGTCGGGTTACAGGAGTGCTTCCCTTGTCACCTCTCAATCTCGCGTGTCAGCGGGGGGTGCGCGGAGAACTGCGCACAGCAGCTGAGGCCCTCTGGGCGGGGCCCCATGCAGCCTGCGTGATTGGCCTGTAGGGAGGGGCGGCCCTGTATAGGACACACTTTGAACCTCACTGGGTTTTACTTTAACTGCAAGTATAGAGGTTTGGATGTCACATCATTTATGACAGATTTGTACTTTTAAATATTTGTAAAGAATGCTTTCGCCACACGGACAGTCTTGGAGAGAGGATCTGAATCTGATGCTGTTCCTCTTCGTTGATTTGCGATCTGTGCTCGTTCCTGCCTCTCTGTTTGTATCTGTTATCAAGGTTCACCTTGGCTATGATTACTAAATAAGCTTTTACAACTATAATAGAATAAAAAAGATTAAAGTCAGATAAAAACCGCTGTGCCTTGTAAGAGGTTCTGGGCAGTGTGTAAACCCAATCTTGTCAATCTTGTTGTTGGGGAAATATTTTCATAGGCTCATACATTTGATCCAATTTATCAGTTTGTACTGCCCCGTTGAGCACAGACCTGCAACTTTGGGCTGCTCTCAGTGTTTTGTCTCCCTGTTCCTGCCTGTTGGCGTCAGCTGATAGAGGTGTTAGTTTTATCTTGATATGCACAAGGTTGATTATTCTCTCAGAACCAGCTAAATACATGGGTTTGGGGTAGAGATCTTCAGAATTGGTTTGGCAACCGCTGTGTCACCTCGTGGCTGCAGCACATGTCTTGTGAATTCTGCGGCCGAAGCTCCAAATAAACCATCAGTGTTTGCCATCAAAGTTCCTGCTCTCCCCGTATCTCTCGAGTCCTGTCTCCATTACTTCAGAAGTTTCCATCCCACTTGTCACACAGTCTAAGAAGTTAAAGCTCTGGTTTGTCTCTTATCTTTGTTTTTGATCTTGCCTTTTCAGGCAGAGCTGTTGAAGACGAAGATAATTTATTCAGTATTCGTGGAGAGTTGCTCTGAACTGCTAGTCAGAAACTCTGATTCTGCAATGATTGAGGTTAACCTTGATCCCCAACAGTGATTCGCCAGAGGGATTGAATCACCGCTTTGCACAAATGTTCTAACATGTGCTCTGTCCTTTCCAGAATTCTGATGGACAACAGGATCCGAAGAATTCCTGAAAACACTTTCCAGTCTCTGTGGAAACTGGCTGACCTGTGAGTAAAGCAGATTTCTCATTATAATCATATAATTAATTGAGTTAATAACAAATTACATCCGATAATCATGAATAAATTGTGGTTAGTTTAATAAATCACTTTGTTTCGGTATAATTTAATGCCTATTTGTGAATATTTAATGCTTTGGTCGTGTTT